AAAGGGAAGCCGAAGTTAAGACCGTAAGCACAGTGGTAATTTTACTTAATGACCATTTCACTTACTGACTTAGTTGCAGATCCCAACTGTAGTAGCTAAAAAAGGACTGCCTATAAATAATTTCTGTTTCTCATAGAATTAAAGTTCCCATTATTTGTTAATGATCATTTAAATAACTTTGTTAATTAGAACTAAGAACACATAAAGGTATCATAACGTTTTAAAAATGGTTAGATACATACAAACAAAAGTAAAGACAAAAAATAGATTATAGTGAGATACGAGGCTGACACCGAATGTTACAAAGTGAAACCTTTTCCTTCTAGCATAAAACAATCAAAAGAATGAAAGGTAAGAAAAATAATTATCTTTGTAAAATGATGTGCTCACATATCTGAATATTTAAAATGTCTGCTATCTTTCTTGGACTTGTTGAAGACTTGTAAGGAAGTAAACAATTGTCAAAAATACTTACTGTGATATACTTGACTGACATATACTTCTTTATACTGCTTGCTGCAATTACTGTTTAAGTGACTCTTATGCTATGATGTAAATTTGTTTAGAAAGATTTCCCTGCATATTTTGAACAAAATTAAAAGTGCCAAAATAAAATATTCAGGATTAGATTTAAATAAATTCACTTCCGAATCTCTAGAATATCAATTCTGACAGAATCCTTTGGTGGGAGAAGGGAGGCAGAAAGTAATCTGAGGCTATCCAGAATATATAACAGTTTGGGGGTCCTCTGTGGGAAAATATTTCTCCACAGCATGGTTGCAATATTCCAGTTTCTTAAATTCAATATATAAGTCAAAACTCTCTTGCATCGTAAGTCTAAAATTTGACAGTGAGGCACAGTTTTGCTCCTTGGAGTGTCAAGTCACTGTCTGGGAGTTAAGTATTCACTATCATCATTATGATCATCATAATGTCAGTTTAAAAAGAAAAGAGCCAAGAGGAGGAGAAAGGGAGGAGCTGGAATGTTTTATTTCATATTTTTGCAGCTTCTACTTTCCCACAAGTGGACATCTGAACAGAAAAAGATATACTGCAAAATTCTTGTGAAGTTTCCAGGTTCTGTTTGATTTCATCTTCTATTGCATCTGAAGGAATGCAAGTGAAACTGAAAAGCACATGATTTATAATTTGCAGAAAGCATCCTTTTTATTTATTCTACTTCTCCATTATGTCTGTCGATTGAGTGGCAGACTCCCATGTCTGCCTAATGAGCAACATTAGCTTGATAGGAAGCATGTTGTGCTGAGCTCAGAATTAAGAGTAATTTTCGAAACTAGCACACTAAGAGAATGCTAAATCTACTAGAGTAGTTTTGTCTGGCACTGTACACAGGCTATCTTCTCTGATATAAGTGATTTTAGAGCCTTACTGGGTAAAACATTTAATTGCTGGCAAAATGTTTAATTTGATGATTTCATCTTACTTGTTTTATCCTGGCTCAGTGAAAGAATTTGATAATTATTCCCTTCGGCTATAAGTATTGAAGGATTATTGGAATATGTTACTACTTTGGTTGAGTAATTAGACTCCACTCCATTTTTGTGTTAATGATTCTCTCATTAACTAAAGAAGTTTAATGATAAAAACTATTAACAGTTTTTCTGCCAACCTAGCAGTTCGAAAGCACATAAAAAATGCAAGTAGAAAAATAGAGACCACCTTTGGTGGGAAGGTAACAGCGTTCCGTGCGCCTTTGGCATTTAGTCATGTCGGTCACATGACCACGGAGACCTCTTCAGACAGCGCTGGCTCTTCGGCTTTGAAATGGAGATGAGCACTGCTCCCTAGAGCTGAAAATGACTAGCACATATGTGCAAGGGGAATCTTTACCTTTACCTTATTAACAGTGAGCACAAAAAGAAATGTGAGCAACTGCCTAACTGAATTATTGAACCGAATATAGTAAATTCATGTTGGTAAGAAAGTGCTACAAGGATCAACCAAATCAAAGAATTTCCCAGGGCTTGCCAGACGCTTGGATGCAATTTCCATCCACACCTAAACCTGCCACTATAAACTTTTGCTGCTATCTAGTGGTTACTCAGACCTTTGCGGCCCAGGTAAAACAGTTCTCCACTCACCCCTTTTCATATTGGGCACGACTGATGGGGAAGATAATTCAATGTAAGACACAGGCAATTTGAAACAGAAGAAACCTGAAGAGAAAATAAGAGATGAGGTTATGACAGGCAGAATAATAGATTCTTTGATGATGAGAGCAAATATTGGAAAGTTTACTCCAGAAGATAGATTGATTAGAAAATGAATGGTCAAAGAGTTTTGTATAAACCAGAGGTGGCAAGGTGCTTAGATCTGGCCCACGGTGCTGCCCTGAAAATAGTGAAGGACCGGCCTGTGGGGCCTCTGCCAGTAAAAACGAAGCCTGGGAAGACCGCATGTGGCTCTCCTAGACCCCGTTTTTGGCAGTGATGGCCTCCTTCAGCCTTTTGCCAGCAAAAGCAGAGCTTCAGGTGGCCCCCAGGCTCCGTTTTCGCTGGCAGAGGGCTGCAAGAGGCCCGCATGTAGCCCCTCTGAGCTCCGTTTTCACTGGCAGAGGACTGCAGTAGGCTGTTGCGGCCAAAAAGCTTAGTTTTCGCTGGCAGAGGGCTAGCAAAACAAACTAAAAGGAAAACAAAAGAAAAAGAGAAATGTTTCCCCTTTTGTATTTGAGCATCCAAGAAGGGACAGGAAAAGAGAAAGAAAAAGAAGAAAGATGGGAAGAAAGGAGAATGAAGAGAGAAAGAAAAAAGAAAAGGAAGGAAGGAAGGAAGGAAGATTATAATGAGAGGAAGGGAGGATCTGAGAGAAGTCCTGCCTTAGCACTTGGCCACCAGCAGCCCTGCTGCCCTTTTGCCATCCCCTTGTCTTCTGACCTCTCCTGGTGGCCTCCCATCCTATCGCTGAGGATGCTTTGGTTACAAAGCCGAGTCTCCTTGCATGGAGAGGGAGTGGGCCTTTCTCTGACCCACACATTTTGCCCTCCCACACACACCTGGCCAAGGAGAGTGAAAACAGCAGTAGCACCAAGGAAGAGGTAAGTGCAGCCAGGCACCCCCTTGGGGAAGCGGGGCTAGGCTGGGCTGTGGGGTCCTGGTGCACTTGGAGCTCGAGGGCCAGGCTGGGTGCTTGCTCTTCACTGCCTAGGGCTCTGAACAGCCTGCACCGCTATCTGGGGGGTCCTCTGTGTGGCCCGAGAAGGACAGCGAGGTGCCTCTGGAGGACAAGGGTTTGGCGCTCTCCCTGGTCTCGCCTTTTTCCACTGAAGACAATGGATCCCCCCGGCCCTGCCCGGGCCACCACAGGTACCCCCGGCATGAGTGATTTGATATGCCCATGCCCACCCTGGCCCCCTGAGGTCAAACACAACCCTGATGCAGCCCTCAATGAAATAGAGTTTGACACCCGTGGTATAAACAAATATCTGTCTTTAAGAGTTGATAGACCATATATAGAACTTAAGTAGAGGAAAACCTTTTGCCTGCAATAATAAAAAATACCTTTAACTTCTCATTTTTAATATAAATACTTGCATTATTTTAAAAGCTATTCACATAATTGCTTAGGGTGAAGAAAGTGTTGCATCTCTCTTGTGCTTTTTTCTCTGTTGCAATTTAGGTATGCTCTTATAATTTTAGACAGCTACTTTTAGTAGAACAATGCTTTCCATTTCATTTTTTTCTCATTAATCTTGATTAATTGTTGAAATGGCTAAAGGCCAAGGTACATATTATGTATGTAAATTGCCTGAAACATCTTTTTAAAAACAGCAAAATTCCCAGCTATTCAGAAACTTACTACATGTTGCAAAAAAATAGCTGAGGCATTGGGACTTCTAACCTAATGGTAAAATCTATGTGATATGCTTCTATTAATTACAGGGGGTGTCTGCAGTACTAGAGGGTTTTTATTCAGTAGTTGTAAATGGTAGATCTTTCCTAATTATGGATATGTCAATCATTTATTTCTTGAAGAAAATGGGGAAAACTTTTAGCCTTTTGATCTTGTGTTGCGATTTCAATTTTAAAAAGTCCTTGAACTGTACATCTCTGCTAAGAGTTAATATTCTCCAGAGATCTGTTTTGAAAAGGAAGTAAATTGATAACTATGGAGAATCAGTCAGAAAAAGAATTTGCATCAAGAAGCCAAACTGTGACATAATTAATTATGGTCACTTAAGGTACTATTCTGAGAAATTTAAAAACAGAATACTTGATAGAAAAAAATCGATTTCAAATACACATTGATATTGCTCATTACAAGATATTTTAGGAAACATTTCCCTATTCAGTAATTAAAGTTGAAAAGGGAGGCCAGCATATTTATTCAACATTCCCTCTTCTCCATTGTAGAATAATCATTTTAGATGACTCAGTACTAAATATATTGAAATAAATTGCAATTTATATAGCTAATACAGTCACACACATATATATTGTATATGTGTTTGTGTGTGTGTGTGTGTGTGTGTGTATGTATATATGTACACACACACACACACCCCTAAATTTCAGCAAGGATTACACATTTGATTTATAAAGTAAACAATATCTAAGTCTAATTATTATACCTTGTAGATATCTAATTGTCACAATGAAGAATGTGAGCATTCTTCATTGTGGAAATGTATTTAGTGCTTTCCAATAGAAAATAGTTCAGAACCTTTTCCTGAAAGCTGTTGGGTGGGAAAATATAACCTACAAATAACAGTTCCTAATTATGCAGACTATTCAGAAAGCTAAAACCTAACTGTGTGCTTACGTTGTCTGAAAAATATAATAATTAGGCTCATAAATTGGTGCCCTTCATTGCACTACAATTTTAAATATTCTAATATCTGAATTCACAATTTCAGAGCTAATTTTTAGTATCAGAGCTAATCTGCTTTATTCAAAGGAACATATTATAAATGTTGCTCAAATTTTAGCCACCAAGAACTGAAGTGGCGATCATGAAACTGCCAAACACCCAATCAAGCAATATCTGACACCAATAAAATAAAAATTTATTAACACCTTTGCTTCAGAGCTTCATTCTCATTCAGTGGAGAATTTTAGTTGCTTCCTGCCTCTTTCTTACCAAAAGCTGGTCAGTTTCTTCCTTGAAGTTCTGTTTGTGCTGCATTCAAAAGTGTACCCAGGCGCCATAAATAAATACAGAACAAAGGAAACTCATCAGAGAGATGGAGGACCGCTTGATCAATGTCCTGCAAAAACTTTTTCTTCTCTTTTTCTTCATAACCAAGACTGGTTTTGTTTTTTTGCTCTGTTTGGGTTTCAAGAAGCTGTTCCAAAATGTTACACAGAAAGAAAATATTTTCATACTGTACACTGTATTTGGCTTGAATCTGGGATGGGAAAAAAAGATAAATAGCAGCATCAGTATGAAATAATGTACACAGTAGCTTGAAAGAAAAAGATATATGATTATTTTGTACATGCATTATTTTATTTATTTATTTTATATGCTGCCCATGTCACTGTCAATGGAGTGGGGATGGGATCTTCTTCCTAGCCCACTACCTCAGTGTGGAATGCCCCCATCAGGACCCCAGGTCAATTGGCAAAGCCAGGTTTTTAGGCTCCTTCAGAAGGCCAAGAGGTTGGGGGAGGATCTCACCTCAAGGGACATAATGTTCCAAAGGGTTGGAACCAAGGCAGAAAAAGGCCATTTCCCTGGATCCCACCAGCTGGAATTATATTATGCAATACTTGAGGGTACATTACTAATATTATGTACGGAATACACTTAAAAAACATGTGTGAAGTAATGTTTAATCTATTGGTGACTTAATTTATGATGGGTCATTCATCAATGTACTACTAGTTACTATTAGTAGTACATTGTTAGTATTATTGCAATCAATGATAATAAGCAAATGCAGATTGAAAATAATCCCTAGAAAAATTTATGGTGTAGATCAGGGGTGTCAAACTCAATTTCATTGAGGGCCGCATCAGGGTTGTGTTTGAATTTTGGGGGGCCAGGGTGGGCGTGGCCAGCTTGATGTCACTCGTGTTGGGGGTGCCTGTGTTGGCTTAAGCGCTCTGCCAGCGAAAATGGGCTCCCAAGCCCATTTTCAGCTGCGACAGCCTCCTGCAGCCCTCTGCCAGCAAAAACGGCTCCTTTTTGCTGGCAGAGGCATCGTGGGCCAGTCCTTTGCTGTTTCCAGGGTGGCCCCATGGGCCAGATCTAGGCACCCCGCAAGCCAGATCCGCCCCCCCAGGCTTTGAGTTTGACATCCCTGGTGTAGATACAAAGCATTCATTAAACAAGAAAAAAAATCACATTGCTTCACAGGAGACAGATCTGATTTTCTTTGTTTCTAACAGATCAGTGAAAATGATTGGCCATATCAAATTAAAGTAGTAGTAATATGAGGAAACCATGAATATCTTGATTAATAAATTATGCATACAGTATATTTTTCAGCCGTCATTTCAACATGCTTTTTAATTAATTAAATGTATTATTTTATGGAAAGGTGTCAGTTTGCTCTTCTTGAATAGCAATGAAGCAAATGCTTTGAATAGTTTTCCCTTTCTATAAAGACAATCTAACCTGCTGAAAATGAATTGAAATGAAAATGAAATCAAATAATGAATATTTGACTCCAACTGACAGATGACCTCACCCAGAGACCTCATACCTCATGAAGTTAAATAAAAGGTGTCACAGTGTAGAATTTGGATGCAATCTCTTTCCTAAAGCCAAAACTGAATGAATTCAACCACAGAGAAAGATAAACCATCAAAATACCAAGTTGCTCAATCATTGCACTTAAGCCAGCAGGATACCATGGTTGATGGTATGGAAAGCTTCTCAGAAATCAAAATAACCAAAATGGTTGTACTACCCATATGTTAGTTCTCCCCAAAGCCATAAACAAGTGCAACCAATGCTGTCTCAGTATATGTTTGAGCCTGAAACCTCATTGAAAAGGATGTATATAATCAGCCTAGTCAGTGGTGGGATTCAATTTTTTTAACAACCGGTTCTGTGGGCATGGCTTATTTGGGTGGGCCTGGCTAGCTGATCATGTGACCGGGTGGCCATGGCTATGTGTATAGGGACTACTCAGAGGGCTGAAAAACAGGTCCTCGCACAGGTCCTCGCACTTTTGACTGGTCCTCACACTTATGACCATCCTCACATTTATGCCCGTTGCAGCATTCTTAACAACCATGTCACTCATTTCACAACTGCTTCTCTTCACCATGGTGACAAGATAGGGCGAAAAACATAAAATGTGAGGACAGTCGTAAGTGCGAGGACTGGTCAAAAGTGTGAGGACCAGTCAAAAATAACTTTTTCAGCCCTCTGAGTAGTCCATATGCACAAAAGGACTACCCAGAGGGCTGAAAAAAGTGATTTCTGACAGGTCCTTGCACTTTTGACTGGTCCTTGCACTTATAACTGGTCATCATTTATGCCCCTTGCAGCATTCTTAACAACCATGTCACTCATTTCACAACTCCGGTGCTTCATGTGACTGGGTGGGCGTGGCCAGGTGGTCATGTGGCATCGCTTCTTTGCCCTAATGACAGTTTGCTGCAATGGTCATAAGTGTGAAAAACGGTCATAAGTCACTTTTTCCAGTGCCATTGTAACTGTTGTAAATCAAGGATTACAAAAAGCTTCTTTGCTTGCAAAAAGCTGCCCTAAATAACAATCATTAGATTAGAAATACCTGCAAACTGGAGTTACAAATCAGGGAGGGTGCCAGAGCACCTTGAGGAATTAAAATCGTTAAAAAGCAATGATAACTATCAGCAGCCAACTCTTGCTCATAAAGTGAAACCCTTTAGAAGAGAGGTCATTTAAGCTCTCCAGAATGAAGCAAAGGAGCAGAGTATCTGTTGCTTGTTAAACCAATTACCAGAACAAATAGAGACGGAACTAGTCAGATTTCCAAAGCTGCTTCTTTTCAGGAACAGAGATTAACATTTTCCCTTCCAAACAAAGCTGAATAGGGAAAGTTATCCCATCACTAAACACAGGATTAAACATCACCAAGCACAGAATTAAACTTCACCAAAAAACAGTTTTAGACCAAAAGTCAGAAAGGGTATGTAAACTCACGTTTGAATGTCAATCTTTCTAGCTAGCCAAGAAACCTTGCTAAATGTCACTCATCTTGGTTCCTTGTCATTAAAAGCTTCTGCTTCGTTATTCAATTATTTCTTCAAAGTGCTGATCATTGCACCCTGGTTGGAAGAACTCCAAGAGGGGAGTATTTCCTCCAACAGCGGTGTAAAAAGCTTAAAACAACTCTTCCCCTTTAAGAAAGTCAAGCAAAAAAAAAACAAAACCTCCGAGAACCTCTGGAACCAGAAGTGACAGTAAGTCTAGGCATACTACCCCAGAGGCAGTTTCTGTAAGCAGGGCAATAAAGATTAGGCTAGGAAACAACAGCAAATGTTGTAATTCCTTACAGGATTAACCCTGTAAAGTAGAAAAAAACAAAAGGAGATTTCTTTTAACAACCGGTTCTCCGAACTGCTTAACTACTTAACAACCGGTTCTACTGAACCGGTGCGAACCGGTAGAATCCCACCACTGAGCCTAGACCAAGACTTCAGTGATAACAATCCCACCATCTCTTGGATAAAAACTGACCAATATAGTTAGGTCTACAGAAATATTCTTGAGGAGGGGGCATGACACCACTCCTTCAAAAAAGCAGGGACAATCCCCTCCTTCTACAAAATACATATTACAGTGTGGCCCAACCGCATGCCTTCCCCTGGACTGACTTCACAAAAAGGAGGGATGTGGATATAATAAATAGGTGGTTGAATTAGCAGTCTTGGGGATTCTGCTTATCTCCTTAGGAGTTTGCAGGTTCTAACTTATTTTTATTCATTTGTTAAATTTGCCACCTATCTACATTTATTTGCCGTTTATCTCGCCATGGCGCTACTCTAGGCAGCTTACAATAAAAAGGAAGAAATAAAAAGAGTGCAAATAAAACAGAAGTAAAATAGACCAATAAAATAAACAACGGAAAATAAAAAAGAACACTTGTCTCAGCTAATCACATAACACCACTTTGATGTGACTTGCGCAGTTGGAGTCCAATTCTGACTCTATGGCCCTGAAGATATTCTTAAGACTCATCTTTCCCTAGCAGAGTAGGAGTCACTTAAAAAGGTCTGCTGGGCAGCTACCAGTGGAGATGTGATTTTAAACAGAAAAAAAATATTTTTGCCACTCTTATCATCACAATATAATCCCTAACATGGGGGTCTTATTTGAGTTTCATCATACTCCTTATCTCTGTTATAGAAATTTTATTATTTGAAACAGTTGATTGCCTTCTGTTGATACGAAGCTGCAGTATTTTCCTGTATTCATTGCAATTTAATTCTCATAGGTCAGCAGACATTTTTCCTTGAGCCTTTTGGTGTTGAAGCTGGTGGCTCTTGGACATCTCTGCTCTGAAACGATGGCTTTCAATTTAATTCCTAGGGTACATCTTAAACCTCTGGTAGAGAAAGGCATGGCTACCCACTTTTCCATAACAAAGGAGATTGAACAGATACGTATAGATGATAGATAGCATGAAGTAAACTTATATGGAATTTATTCCAAATAGAATATCTTGTAGTTCCTGAAGAAAAAAAATCTGCTGTAAGGTTTACCAGCCTATATTAATGTTTTACAATAAAACATGGAAGCTATAAAAGAAATATAATTTTAAAACAAAATACACAGTTCACTTTATTTACAGTTACATTGCCAGACACTATATATTTGTTAAAATTTGTTGGTTTAAATTAAAGCATTGGAAGCCATTTTAAAATGAAACAATGTTCAAGCAATTTTACATGTATTATCCATTTGTGGAGAACAATTAACCTACTTTTTGACACAAGAGTTTGAATTACACAGCAATAATATTACAGGAAAGGCATATGCAGCACACCCATATATTTATAGTTGAACATTTGGAGTGCATTCAAGAATGCTGAAAGGAAGGTATGATTAATCAGCCCATTGAACAGATAGAAATGAAAACAGTCCCTGTGAAAATTAATATGTAAGCTTCCTGTCCTCCCGATATTTTTTTTTATTAAAAGATTCCAGGTGGCTGAAAGTAGATTAAAGTTCTAATTCCAATTGTTACTGAACAAAAGCCTGACATAAAGTTTCTGCTACTCATGCAAAATCTCTGCTGACTTGAAAAACCACTTATGCATACAGTATATATGAAAACATTAAGGTAAACTGGTAATTTCTAACTGGGTTCTATCCCAAGATAGCTATTTTAGGAATAGGTAAGGCCTTTCAAAAGCCATTTTGTGAGTGCACCCATAACTTATCCTCAAAATTCCAAATATGCCT